ATCCAGCTTCTTGGATTATTTGCTCAGCATACAAACTAAAAGAAAACAATCTTAATGCACACCTTTTCTGATTTTAAATCATATATCCACATTTCTGGTTTTGGTTTCTGTATAGGTTTCACATGAAAACAATTAAGTGTTCTGGAATTCCCATTCTTCTCAGTCTTACCCATAATTTATGTTGTTACCCACCCAATTGAAATAGTCAAAGAAACATAATTAAATGTTTTTCTGGGTTTCTCTGCTTTCAGCCAAGATCTATCTACCATCAGCAAGGATAGTCCTTGTTCCATAGCCTCTTCTGAATCCAGCTTGAATTTTTTTGGCATATCCAGTTTGTATTGAAAGCTTACAATATTGTTTAAAAAACATTTTACAAGTATATGGGATCAATGAGATAGTAATGATATACTCTGCAAGGGAGAACGTTACATAACTTTGTAGATGTTTAGAGATGGAGTGACTTTTTCAAGATCGCATTTAAGTCTTTTCTCCACCTTCTACATGCTTCTGGTCTTCCTGCCCCTTATAGGCCCAGGCCTTGCAGACTTGTCAATTCTGGTATCCATCTAATCTAGATACAAAGTTGGCTTCTGTTATTTTTATACAGAACTTAAAAAATAAAGTTCCTCAGAATTCTTTATGCAAAAGATTGAGATTTTGAATGCCTTTCCTTTTCTAAAATGGAAATTAATAATGATTATAGGCATGCTTTTCTCTTTGGAATTAAAAACTCTTGGAAATATTTTGTAGTCAAAGATATTATATGCACAATACCCTTCATTATTATAAAAATCTTACATGTTTTTAGAAATGGTTTGAATGCAGACTATTTCCATCAATTTCTTATTTTAGTTTAAAATATTAGAGTGGCCGCTCCTTGTTGCTGCTTTTAAAAGCTATATACATAGTATCCGTTTTTCTTTTGAGAAAAACCATGATTTTCTGGAACTAGGATAACTACTATTTAATTAGTCTCTGCACCTTGATCCTTTTCTGTGTATTAGAATGTATTTGACATAACAATTATGAACATCTCCATTATCATCATTGTTCTTCCCAACTATGTCAAGGCCAAGAAAATAGTGGTGAAGGAATGCAAACTTTAGAGTCAATGAAATCAAGGATTTGAGTCCTGACTCTGTTAAAAGTAAGCTGTCACTTTGGTCAAATTGATTTTTTTTTAGTCCCTGTTTACAATTTGAGAAACCAGACTGTATGATGTGGCAACAGAACTGGAGGAAGACTCAGCAACTGCTTGTGTTACGCTAACCCTAACCTTGACACACCGTGCTTGCAGAGAGTGAGGAAGACTGGGAGTGCCTGCTGCAGAAGATCAAGGATTACACCATCTCAGTATCAAGAAAACAAAAGTTTTCTGGCCAGTAGGCAAACTGATAACAACTAGAGAGAAGATTGAAGTTGTTAGTGATTTCATCTTGTTTGCATTCACAGTTAACACCCGTAGTACTAGCAGTCAAGAAATCAAGATATGAGTTGCACTGAGGAAGTCTGTTGTCAGGGATCTCTCCAGATTATTATTAAAGAGCAGTGATGCCCGCTTAAGAGACTAAGATGCATCTGATTCAGGCCATAGTTTTTTCAGTTGCTTGCTAATACATCTGAAAGTTGGATAATTAAAGACAAGAGAAGAATCAATGCCTCTGAGTTATGGTGTTGGAGAAGAGTACTGAATATTCCATGGATTGTATAAGAGAACAAATAGGTTTGTCTTGGACAAAGTCAAACCAGAGTATTCCTTAAAAGCAATGATAGTGAAACGACATCTCACATACTTTGGGCATGCTGTTAGGAGGGACCAGTCCTTGGAGAAGGACATCAGTCTTGGAAAGGTGGAAGGTCAGTGTAAGAGAGGAAGTCTCTTGACAAGATACATTAACACACTGATTGTAGGAATGTACTGAAGTGTCAGATGGTGAGGACGACACAGGATAAGCATGTTTCAGAGACATATATTGTTCACAGAGTCGCTATGAGTTGCAGTCAACTTACTTGATGGCATGAAACAACAAAAATCCAAAAGTGGATTAAGAGTAGATGGAAGATCGTAAGAATTCTAAGAGTAAAAGAATTCAAATGCTAAATTTTTCAAATGTATTCACAATTCTTTGTTAAAATAAATGAACCCATCATTCTTACCACTATGTAAAATAGAATATTAAAAATTGGCATAAAAGAACAAATCCATGGCCAGTCTTGCTTGCCTCTTCTTCAAATATGCACAACACATTTATATACAAATATGTAAGACTCTTAGATCATTCCAAATAAGCACTATGAAAAGAGAAGCAGAACTAAGTTGCATAGGGATGATGTTTTTGTTAGGTTGATTAAAACTATGACCATAATGGAACTGTTTCCTCACATTCAAGCCCATTGCTGCAGTCACTTTTTCTTCCCCTGTGTCATCCCTCTCCAAGGCATAACCTGTCATAATAGCATGCCCAAAGTATGTGGGAAGCTTTCTCATCTTTGCCTCCAAGGAGCACTCTGGCTGCACCTTCTCCAGGACATATCTTTTTGTTCTTTTGACAGTTGAAATATTCAGTACTCTTCTCCAATACCACAGTTAAAAGGTATCAGTTCTTCTGTCATCCTTATTGTTCAGCTCTCAGCAGCATAACAAATGATTGAAGAGACCATGGCCTGAATCAGGCACACATTAGTCCTTAAACTGACAACAGACTTCCCCAGTGCAGTATGTATCATGATCTTCTGACAGCTGATACCACATGTATTGTGTATCCAAATAAGATGAAGACAGAATAAGGGAAATCCATGCTTGAAACATAGTCAAAAGGCTAGAATCTCTATTTATGGTTGAGTAGCAGCACAGCTTTGTTTTTTACTGTCCTCAGGTTGCTATCATAGTCCATAAGGCAAAGCTGTCTACAAAGACTTAAGGTAAAGTGAAACCTAAAAGACATATAAAGAAAAATTTTTATGCAAAATGTTCATAATTACATTTTAAAGAAAAATGTAAAATCAGCACTGAGGTAAGTTGTTATAACAGTGATGGGGTGGGGGTGGGTGGATGGGTGTTTAATGGAATGCTTCCTTTCATGAGGGAAATCTGGTTTAGTTCTGGTTTCCTCAAGTGTAACCGCCATATCATTGAAAACTTGCATACTGCTATGCCGCCAGATGGGCCTGAGTGGAGCTTCTACACTCGGCCTGACTAGGGAGAAAGGCCTGAAAATTTGCTTTCAGCGAAAAGCAGGGGGATTAAAAATAAAAATCAAGGAAAGCCTTGTGGATCATAGTAATCAAATTCTGTTGTACATGGGATTCCTATAAATTGGAAGCCAACTTGGTTAACGAAAGGATAACTCCTAAGTTAAATTTTGGATTTTTCTTCTTCCTTGATGATAAGCCTTAATTTAGGCTTTCACTTCTCATCTGGATTTGCTTAAAAAGACTATCATGCTCATTTCTCAGCAGGATAGAGATAGGCAAACAATAGACTTTCTTAATTAGCATTCTAATGAGTTTTTTTTCTCAGTGGCACATGATTGCCATTAATACTAAAATTTGAACCAGTTTGAACACTGCCTGCCATTCCTTCCATGTAAGCCCCAGATTTTGTGTCTACTGTATGGAAAACTTGTTTACAAAAGTAGTTCCAATGTAGAAAATTTGTGTGAGTTCATTCTGGAGGAAGAATAACTTAAAAGCACAATGTAGATTCCTTTAATGTGAACTGTTAGGTACCATCTGTTTGGAATTGGTTCATAGCTTAACCTCCAACAAGTTTTCAGAGGTGTACACTGGAACATGGCCCCTTTTCCTCCCCTGGAGTGGCTGGGTGGAGACTCACCTTCTCCACTTTGAAAATTAAGTAAACAGACAGTATGGGCTACCACCTGAAAGTATGAAAAGATTATGTCTGCACTCAAATTTTTGGGTTGCCAGAGAAAACTTTTGCAAGCATTATGTTTAAAAGACTATTTATTAGTTTTTAATATTTACAGTTCATGGATTAAGTTATTTTTACTGAGGATTTTTTTGGAGAGGTGTTTCACCTGTTCTCTATCACTTTTACTTATGATAGAGGAGAATTCCAAGTTATCTTTCTGCCTGACTCTTCTTTCTAGATGTCTAAATACAGGCATCTTGCTGTCTCAGGAAATTACAGTGACAGTCCTGTTAACAGTTTATGTCTGAAAAGGTCCCACTGATATTGTTCATTACTGCCACAAACAGCTCGGAAACAACCTATTATTATGAAAAGCACCTTTCAGTATAAATAATGATGATTTTGAGTTACCTCAAGTGTATACCAACAGCATGCCAATGGATAAGTATAAACACAAAATACTAATTAAACAAGAACAACTGCCATGGAGTCTCTTCAGGAAGTAAAATAATGGGGAACATGGAGCCCCAGCAAGGATTATGCAAGAAGGATGATTTCAGGAGACTTGACACTTCTATTTAAATAACAAACACAAAACCTCTCAAGAAAATAATTTCTTTGTACAACACTATCCAAAAACAAACTTTTTAAAGCTTTAAGAAAGTCACAATAAATTATAACTTGTTTTTTGCATGGTTCTAAAAGGCTCATACTGTCATAATTTATTATTTTTGCTTAAAGACATAAAAAATAAATACTGCCATGCATAAATTTTATTGACATTTAAAAATCCACAAATAAATAACTTCAAATAAGGTCTAGAGAAATTGCTCCTGCATACTTCTGTTAATTAAGTCTCAGATTTTTATAATGCCCTTAAATTACTAAAATGTAACACACTAAGGGAAAGAAAACAATATGTTAAAATGGAGTGCTGATACCCTCTTCACTGTAGGTTTAATATAAAAAGCTAATAATAAACTCGTGGCATTCCTTCCCAACAGCATGCTGGAAATATGAAGTGAGAGAAACTGGCATTCTTCCTCAGGCAACTTATCCTATTTCAGTTTCTTGAAACATCCCTGGTTAAGACTTTTGTGATTGAAAAGACACAGAGAAGTATTTATAAAAGTCCTTCAGGTTCCTCATTAAAGCTGAAGTCACACACTAGAGACAGGTGGTCTGAAGGATAATTGAAGGATGGTAGCCGGTTGGGTCCAATCTGTTCTTCAGTCAGCAAATCAAGAGCTGACCGGACACTAAGAGCATGCTTAGAATACCAGATATAATCCAGAGTGTGCCGGCACTCCCCTGAGGTCCGGATCTTCCAGGTGGTATAGGGAGGTTCGGACTGCCCATCGGCACTCAGCAGCTTATAGGCGCTGTTCAGGTTGAGGCTGGAAGAAGCAAAGTGTTTGTAGACCTCCTCTGTCGGCTCTGCATTGAAGTCCCCACAAACAATAAGAGGAATCTTGGCTCCTTGAGTGATGTTCTGTAGGTTCTGGAGAAGATCACAGCCTTGAGCAGATCTAAACTGCTCCCAGCCAGTGCGTGCTTTTAAGTGGGTGACAGCAATGCAGAACTGTCGACCAGACTCCTTGCACTCGAGAATCTGTGCAATGGCCACTTGATTAGTTTTCAGTGTCATGGCCGTCAGCCTAATATTGGCACTGCTGACTAGCTTGAACCGGTTTTGGAGAAAGAACAAGGCACAGCCATCCGGCCCATTGTTGTGTTCCACATCTAGACAGGGTGACCAGGGCTTGGGGAAAAAAGTGCCTTGATAACCCAGTCTACTGAGGAGTGGTTGGAAGGTGTCAAAATAGTGGTCCACCTCTTGGAGGCACAATATATCAGGATGGTAGGCTAGGATTTCTTCTAGGATGAGACATTTTCTTTCCTCCCACTTCAGTGCTTCAACAGGGCATTGTACAAAGTTGTCTTTGCCTTCTCCTAGAGCTGAAATAAAAAAGCCAGTCAGTTGTCAGATACTGCAGAAAAGTGACTTCAAAGTACCTGGGAGTCTCCTTAAGTCTGACACTGATGTTGATTTCTCTAACAAATGGGTTGCTCTTTGTCTAAACAATCTTAACCCGCCCAAAAGAAACAGGCTTTTTAAGATAAAGAGTAGTATTATTCTTCCCCCTCTCTGTGGTTCTTGGTTTCTTTATGCACATATTATTCATCTTTCTGTTCTCTTCCTTCCTATCTTCTGAGTTTGATCTTTGGGCAAATGCTGCTCTATGATCCCCTATGGTTGATAGGAGGCCTAAGTACCTCCCTGACTTATTCACAGTATAGATCTGTCTATATGATCTACACGTTTTCTTTTTTAAAAAAAGAAACTATTTTTGTTATGGTTTGAATTACAGCTTACAGAACAAACTGGTATGCCATTCACCCATTCGTACATAATGTTTTATGACACTTCCCCAATTACCCACATTGCATCATTACTCTTGCCACTCTCTCTAGGTTATTGTTTCCACTCATCTTTTCATCCTCTCTTGAGTCTTATCTGTGGAATAGATATGCTGCCCTTGTAATCCTATGTGGTTGAGTATTTTAAGTGCTCAGTAGCTCCTTAGTGTTACTAATGTCTTTAAAGATCTGTCTACTGTTTTGCTCTTACCACAGAGGGTGAGTTCAATTCCAGGCTCAAAGGGGACATAACAGCCACATCCCCTTCTTTCTTAGCAATAAAAAGTGGCCTTTACAAATTTTAACAAAAGAAACCTTATTTTACACCACTAATCCTTTGTTTCATAAAATTTCACCTCTAAATGAGACAATGCTACAAAGTTGACTGACAGGTCAACTTTTCATTTAGCAGACGCCATGAATGGAATCTTTTTGACTATAATAAAGTATAAAGAAAGGCAAAAGTGTTCATATATTGTCTTATTTTATAGAACACTGGCCTTAAATTATAAAGACATACATGAATAAGAATCTCCTGACTCACCACCACCCAATTACTGCTCTCATTCACCAGAAGTTCCACATGTTACCCATTTAGTAGATTTTCTCCTGCAAGAATGCTTAGTGCTGTGCTCAAAGCTAGAGGTAACAAAGTCTGAGGCTGTTCCATTAATTGGTTAATAAAAGACAGATCAGTTAAGTTTAGATCTGTTGGGAAGTCATAACAGGCTTTATACTTAGACAATCCACAGACATAAAGGCACAGAATACAACTTGAGTTGCTAAGCTTTATTAATGAAAAACAGATGTCTCCTTTTCCTAACCTCCTCTTCTAAGGGCTCCTCATGCTACCCTAGTTATCTCATCCTCCTCCTACACCTCCATCCTGCTCATAGTTCTTTCCACCTAAGACAGTGATGCACTGGGCATGTGCAAAAGCAGAAAGGCACAGCAAAGTTAACTGCTCACGCACAAAGCTTTTAGCATACCTTGGGCGAGGATGTTCCATTGCATGACCCTAATAAGTGGGTGGCTACTAGGGCAGTCTGTCCTCAGATCCACAAAGTCCCTCTGGAACCGGGGAGGTCGAGTGTGCAGGACAGCCCTGCATTCCTCAAGGAGCTCTTCAGGATCAATGGGTTCCAGATGTTCTGAGTCAGATGATACCAAATACTCTGGGTGCTGGGAGGCAGCGCTGCTGTTCAGTGTCTTGGCGAGAGCACTATAGAGTCTGCTCGTACCGTTTCCCATGGAACACACTATAGGAAAGGAAAGCACAGTTACATACTCAACTCCTTTTTCTGCCTTTTCTTCCATTCTTATCCAGCTCAACTGTATGCTAAAGCAGTTACTGTCCATAGACACCAGGAACTCAATTAGGACAGTGCTGTCATGTTCATAATGAAAGCAATTTCTGCAGAGATGGAATAAAGGAATTGGCAAGTCCTAGCTTCCTTCCATGACCCTCATCACTCACTTGTTACTGCCTAGTCAGAACCCAACTTTAGGTGACCTTACAGGAGGTTTTCTGAGGCTGTAATCACATGGGTGGAGAGCACCAATCTTTGTCCTATGGAACCATTGGTAGATTCAAGCCACCAGAGGTGCTCCCCTACTCTCAATGTCATGGAGACAGAATTTACTCCTAACTGGTGGTTTCCTGAGACTGTAGGTTCCCTGGGAAGAGACTGCCCATCTTTCTCCTGTGAAGCAGCTGGTGGATTTGAACTGTATACCTTTGAGTTGACAGTGCAACTTTCTACCCACTGGGTAATGAGATCTTCCTACTAGGAAGTTGCTGTTGTTGTGTGCTGTCAAACTGGTCAACTCATAGCTGACCCTCCATCGTGTTTTCAGAGGTAGTAAACTGCACCCTTCAGAAGGTTTTCATAGACAGTAAACTGCACGAGAAGAGATTGCCCATTCTTCACCTGTGGAACAGCTGATGGCTCTGGACTGCAGCACAGCTTCTTATCACTAGGCCACCAAAGCTCCCTCTTAAATTGCTCTGAGGATAGGCAATATAAATATGACTGTAAAACTAACCTCTAATAAATGAAGATAATTAATTCTTTAAGAAATCTTTATAGCCCCTTTCAGGATTTAGTTTTAGAATTTATAAAATTAATCTTATAAAAGTATGACTAACACAGTCATTTCTTTACAAACTGGTCTTCATGTTCTTAGGCAGAAAAGGGCCAAATAATTAAAAAAGTCTGTTAATCCTGGAAGCGAGATTAGGTTTTAGCTGTTCTAACCATTTCATCTACATAGATGCTTCTGCTAAAAAAGGAATGGTTTTCCTTCAAGAAGTAATGGCTAGATGGGGTCATACTCCATTTCCCTTAAGATGGCGTTAAAATGAACATTACTGAGCAAGTCAATCTACAATCTAAGACTACTTGATTTTTTTTTTAAATCCTGAAAAGGAAATGGGCATACCGCAGCTGATTTTGTTCAGCTGGCAAGTTTCTATTCAGGGGATCAACTTCTCATGAGTTGTCCCATGTGGCCTAGATCACAGAAAAAGAGGAAGAGAGAAGTATAGGCAGCACTAGTCATGTGTCTTCAATTATTTCTAGAAATTTGGTTTTCAGTCTTTTAGCTAGGTCAACCGTATTTTCTCTTTGAAATGAACAATATAAACTAGGGGGAAGTTTCACTTGGAGCTACCTCCATCTTGGGCAAAGTCTGTGTTAATGAACCCTGGAACCATGCAATCTAGACTTCCCTACCATGTCATATCCTTCCTTATGTTCTCTTGAAAGACACAAAGTTTTCTTTATAAAATATGTTTATAAGCTGATTGACCATAGAAACTGGCAGGCCGTCAAAATCACTGTGGCAGGAAACAAAAGCAAACTTAAGCATTCATCACTAAATGTTATGTATTATTCCTCTCCCTCAACTCAGATTAGTTTCTAAAATTTACTTAAGGAAACCAGACCCAGTATTCTCAGCATACATTCAAATATATGTGTATCTGTAAGTATACCATTAAAAAGCTTCCAAATGCTTCATTCTTTTCAGTCTATTTGAGCTGGCTGACTGGCTGGCTTACTACATGGGTCCACAAGATACTTTTTCAGTGACAGTACAACTTTGAAAGTCTTTCTCTTGCACTTCTGATTGTTGGGAGGTTTTTGGTTTTTTAAAAATGTGTGTTTTGGGTTTTCTTTAAAAGCTGTTAAATTACTATTATTATTATTTTTTTCCCCCAGATTAGTGGTATCCCAGTATGCCACGGTAAACTGACAGGATAAGTGTGGGATTATTTTCAATTTTACATAAACGGATCTTTGGCACCTAAAATTGGTGTTTGGCAACAATTCCAGCACTTACTAGCCTGATGTGGTTCAGTTTGACAGGACTATATGACATTTCTTTAGATGACATCTTATCTTTTCCAAGTTGGGTTTGGGGATGTCTTAAAAAGATATAAATACCATGTGAAAATAAAAAAGGGTGTTAGAGTCCCCTGGGATTCTAAGATTTCTGAGGAGTTATCTGAAGTTATAAAACATTAACTTGGCTCTAAAAATTTCTAAGACCCCAATTTCACATGAAAAAGAATAAAGAGCAAAAAAACATTTGTTCGGACAGTGAGAACATGGCATGCCCATTAAACAAAAACTGTGCCCTATTACTAAATGACCTTAGTTATTAAGAAAATGACACAAGAATGAACAGCACAATTTAGAAACGTCAGAAATGAAGCAACAGGAAAAGATTAGAAATAAAAATTAAAAAATGACAAAGGATTGAAGAGTAAGTGGCAGATATTGAAGATCCAACATATGGTTCTTGTAACTGAAAACAAATGCAAGGAAATAAGAACAAAATTAGTCACACACTCCCAGGTGTGTGAAACTCATGCTCAAATAAAAATATGTACCCAAATATTTATTCAGACTTGCAAAAAACTTAAGGAACCAAGGTACAAATGGAAAATGGTGGTATAATAAATAATGTTAAGAGACTAAAAGAACCCCAAAACAAGCTGTTGATTCACATAATCTGAGTTAATCTTAAAAGCAATATGGTTTAAAAGACTCCAACAAAGTAAAAAGAAAAAAAGCACTATGATAAGAAAAAGAGTAAGTTATTGATAATAACACTTTTAATAAGTTTTTTTAAAGGGTAAATCTACAAAAACATAAAGCAAATCAGTGGTTGCCTAGGTTTGCCAATTTCATAAAATGAAAATATTCTGCTCTTGAATAGGACCCATTAAGTAAATGAGGCAAACAACAGAATGAGAAAATTTACAAATCATGTATTTTATAAAGGACTTTTATCCAGAATACGCACATAACATATACATAAAAAAACCTAGGCTAAAGATCTGATTAGGTGCTATCATGTGGGTGCTGAATCATAGTGACACTATGCATAACAGAATGTAACACTGTCCTGTACCATCCTCCTAATGCAGCTCATTGTGGCAGTCATAGTGTTACTCCATCTCATAGAGGGTGGTCTTTTTTGTTAATCCTCTACTCTTAAGCACTGGTTACTTTAAAAAAAAAAAATACTAGTTTATTTACAAAATTCGATACATTGTTTTTCAGACCAAATTCTTCCAATTTGTCTCACCCCCCCTCCCCATCAAATTGTACAACCCTATGTTTACCCCCTCCCCTGCACATCCTTTTATCTTTGCTTCCACACACCCCCACCCTTGGATCCTCATACTCATTCTACAATAATGGTTTTATGGGGCTGGTTACTTTTAAATTATGTGAGACCATTTTTGCTTCTTGCCTGTCTCTCTTAAAAAAAAAAGAAATGTTCATTCTTCTGGCAGTTTATTATTTCCAATATTCTTTGCCAATATCATAGCTCAAAGGCATCAATATCCTTCAGCCTTCCTTGGTTGTCCAATTTTTGCATACAAATGAAGATTGTGAAAATACCATGATCTCGGATAGATAAGTCCTCAAAGTGGCATCCTTGCTTTCTAACAACAAAATATCATAATTATGTTACATAAAAAGCAAACTGTTAAGATTTATATGTTCTTTAAATGGAGTATGAGGAAAAACTGCTGGTGGAGTGCAGTTTTTACTGATAACCTCCCCCCCCCAGTGCCCCCCCCCAACTGAAGCATAGTTGGGCAAGTCCCTCTGTGGACTGAAAGTAAGTAAATAGCCTTACAGTCTGTGTACCTATTACATAATGGAATTAAAAAGCAACTGGAGCCAAAGGCAAAGAAAGACACAGGGAAATTTTCCATTAAGACCCTGCTTAGTTCCCAAGTCTCCTACCAGGAAAGAAAAACTATAGGTGTTTTTATCTAATTAATTTATAATAATGGAGAACCAGCTAAGTCAAGTATTTATTAATGAATGAGTCAATTACTTTGCTCCTATATTAAATCTCTAACCACATCTATTAACAAGAGGACTGTTTTCCTCTCAAACACTGTAAGAAATATATTCACAGCCCAGTACATATGTGGTACCTTTGCTACATGAAGCACACACTGATATTTTCTATTCTATTCCATCTCACTTTTTCGAAATGTTGCTCTTGACCCAACTAAGCTTATTTGCCAATTCACTAACCTAGGTAAAAGGAATCGTAGTGTTGGTAAAAGGAGTTCATTATGTGTTGGGCTGCTAACCACGTCAAAGGCACCAAATTCTTCACAGGAAGAAGATGGTTAGTCTCGCCTCATAATGATAAGCCTCAGAAGACAGATGGAGGTTCACTTACAAATCAGAATCTACTCACCAGGCAGTAGATTAGAATTTACAAAGTTCAGTACAGAAGCCCCAGTCTTTAAGCTCTTAGCTGCTAGCAAAAATCTTAGTGATTCAAATGCACCAGCCTCTCTTCTGGAGACAGATGTCAAGGGAGACATGGAAAACATTTGGGGCAGTGCTACTCTGTCCTGCAGGGTCACTAATGCCAATGAATTTGGCTTTTTCAACTGCCAGTAGGAAGCACTGCTCTAAAGTAGCCTACAGACCCTTTGGGGATGTCTGAAACTTGTTTATAAGTGTACAAGATCAAACTGTTTTCATGAAAACAAAACTAAAAACAACAAACAACAAAATAAACCCACTTCTGTTGATTCCAACTCAAAGCGATGCTGCAGGGCAGAGCAGAAGTGCATGTATAGGCTTTCCAAGGTCATATGCCTTTAAGGAGGCGATCACCACTCCTAATTTGCCCTTTCACTGTGTGAACATTTAAGATTGGTAAAACTGCTGGTGTCTTAGCACCAATGAAGGCAGTAACATTAAACTGTACT